CCCCACACACACACCCCACTGGACGGGATAGGTGTATAAATGGTGTAACGCTGGGAGTAGCTCTGCGATATACCACTGGTATATCGCAGAGCTAACCCTAGCGTTACACCATTTATACACCTACAATAGGTGGGGAGAGGCACTGTGACAGTAAAGAATCTGCAAGAACACATTGCAACGACTCCCTGGCTAGGGCTCGAAACTGGACCGCTCGATTCGGAATCAAGCGTGCCACCCATTAGGAGTCACCATTAGGAGTCCTTCTGGCCGGTAGTGTTTTCAAGATCCTACCGGCCAGAGGGACAAGATAAACAGAAAACTGAAAATATTACTGTAGAGTGATTCTAGTATAGTGTAAGACTAAAGAGCAATGTATCAAACTATTCTGCAAATAAAACAGTCAGTATACACAAGCTGTCCCTCTGGCCGGTAGTATTTTCAAGTTTCTACCGGCCGGCCAGAGGGACAAGGCAAACGAAGTTTGAATTCGGGGATCTACCGAATCAAAAGCTCAGTAAAAATTCGTTCTCAAGGAAAGACGTACTTAAAAACCCTTGTGCCAAAGTCAAAGACGTCTACAGTGTTGAGCGTACAAATTTACGGTTTACGAACTAGACGGGAAGAGACCTAAAGGAATACACAGCATTCACTACTTTACTCTCGGTTTTTACCCTCTACACATTATTCTTAACATGTCAGGTAAATAAATAAAAACGTACTTGTCTTGTTGATCAACACAGTTTTACCACTGTCAATTCGCAAACTGATTAACATCAGTTATGTGACTGGTATAGTCCGCCATATTGAAATCGCCGACAATTTCCGAAAGCTGCTCTACTCGGAAACTCGCTCCTTGAACTCCTCGGTTGTCTTTCTGGACACAACCGTGTCAATCAATAATTCTCTTTTCCTCATAGTGGATTGCGCGCTGTTCGGACAAGTGTGGACGTTGTTCTTGCAAAGTTGATGTTGTACGTTCAAACTTGATGCTGTTCGTACAAAGTTGACATTCGTTCAAAGTGTGAACATTACTCGTACAAAGTAATCGACATTCTTTGCCCAAAGTTGACGCGACGTTGTTTTTGGAAAGTGTGGTCGTTGTTTTCACAAACTTGACCTTCTTTGCACAAAGTTTTGTACAAAGAAAGAAGAAAATTGGCAAGTTAATCTTGATATAAAAACTGCTTAATATTTTGTAGCTTACGAGAATCGACAACAAATGATATCGGAAAAAAAACCTGTTTAGGAAAATATTAACACCCGAACGGAGTATGAGCCAGTATAACACACTTTTAAGGCTAAATATGCTGAGTAAGCGTCACAGAAAATCTCGAGACATTTAGCCTGCAGGACAGGCGGATTAGCTGGGCAGTGAGCGAGACGCGATACACGAGCGCGGAGCGCGAGACGAAAAAAATCTGCCCCGCTAATCCGCCTGTTCTGCAGGACACGAGACATTCGACATTTCACATGATGGACCAACCTCGTTCCCAGGGTCTCTCATCTTATCGCCCCTTGGAGCTCCAGGGGGCGGTAAGATGAGAGACCCTGGGAACGAGGTTGATGATGGACATGCCAAAACGTACGGTAGCCTGCGAACACTGACGTATTTCCGGCTGTCGCTCACTCGCTTGTTATTTTAGCGGAGACAAGCGACAGCCGGAAAAACGTCTGCAAGAGACCAAACGAGACCGGAACAAACGTTTTCTCCCTTTTTTTTTTTCACAGACGACGAGGAATATCTCTATCTTCAGGTAACAAAAAAAGAAGAAGGCCTGATCGTAGGCTATTTTAATTAAGAAGTTAGCCCTCGACAGACGTTGTTGAGCCCAGTGAGAAGCCATTAATAATACATTAAGCCCTGGCAATGCACGTCAAAGACTCGTCCTTTGGTTTGTGTAAGCTCCTTTTACTGCTGGTCGGACTCGATGTCCTCGTCGCTAAGAAGATTCAAGACTCACAAGGTATTTCTCAACCGATTTCCATTTTCTTAACCTTAGTAAACTACCCCAGGTCTGAATAACCAAAGAACACGGCGACTCTTGTTCCAATCTAGATATCGTTTTGAGAAGATTATTTACACTTTGTGTCGGTTTTGTGAGCTAATGGAACCTGTGTGCCTAATGAATGGAACCTGTGTAACTATTTTCCCCTAAACCTGACCGAACCGGGCGCGAAATTATTGAGCATCGAATAGTGAACTCCTGGATATTACAACAGGAGCTAACGGGGCACGCGGGCACGCTGATTACAGACCATTACATTCGCTTCACGCAGCTTTGTTCTCCAGCAGCCGCGGTCGTTCAATCCTCGCGGTTTCTATTTTGTTTGCGCCCTCGACAGTGCAAGGTCTATGAACAGGGTACGCCCCGAGGGTACGCCCAACTTTGGAAAAAAAATAGCAATCGCTCAGACCTATCATTGAGTCCTTAATAGTCGCGAGGAAAGCGTTACTTTACGATATTTTAACCTCGCGGTAGAACGTAATATCGACTTTTCGATCGAACATTGTAATCCAGTTCTTCCACGAGATGTTTAACAATCGAGAGGAGAGAATAAATGCGATAATTCGAGTGAAATTAGAGTAATCTATTAGAAGTGAGAACATTTACGAAATCATTTTTAACCTTTTTGAAAAATGTTCCGGCATCTCCGCGTGGTGAATTGCATATGTCAGGAAGAGCAGACAAGAATAGTAGACATCTGCATGTTGGATTCAAGTTGAGCAAATAGATGGTTTGACAGGTCGTTGATGGTCTGGATTGGGTGCTGCAACCTCTTTAGTTTTGGCGATTTCTTACCTTGCCTGCCAAAAGTTATAATTTAGTCTTTCGTGACTAGCGGTGGAGGTAAAAAGTTCGCGGGAAACATTTAATTATACCTTAAAAATATAGATATGATTTTTTATAAAACAAGTCGGTGCGACAGTAATTTGGTACCACGTTAAAAGGACTTCGCACTCTGACTTCAAAACTGAGCTTTAACAGGCCACATGCCACAATAGTTAATAAATAACTAGCCCCTAAGAGTTGAAAAGTGGTGTTCACTATTCACGCAATAACGTACTGATGAATGGTTCGACTGAGAAACATGGAATTAAGTTCATCCTGTGCAAGTTGTCCAGGAAGGAAACCTCAGAAAACAGTGTTTTGAGGGACTATTTCTCGTGAAAATGGGAAAAATTTACTAATACTAACTAATATTAACTATATTAACTGAATACCAAGGAAAACATTTCAAAAATTGAAAATTGTAGAGGTGTACGACCTAGATAATTGTGTCCTTTACCAATCTTGAAAATTTGACAACATTCGGTTGAAACCCAATGGAGATATCGTGTGCGAAATATTGGTGATCCGTCTATTCGGTGTTTTTGAGAAATAAGAGACAGGGGGGAAGTGGGTATATCGAAAGGTTTACATTGACATATGGCTACCAATGTGCAGATTTCTTGATTTAAACGTAAATCAAGGAGAATTAAGGCAAAATCGCTTCAAAATACGTTTTGCAAAATAGTCAGAGATGTTGAATCTTCATGTTTCGAAAAAAATTGTGTTTTTCTGGAGAACAATTTATATCTGAGGGTATGACCCCTTAAAAGTAGAGTTACCTGCGTAAATTTCGCGGGTTCAACTTTCGCAAGTTGTTAACCCTTCGTTAAAGTAAAAGACAGAACGGTTCCTTTTTAACTTGGATAATCCAAGTTGTAGGTATGGATGGGTCCTCCCTTCGCTCCTTCACTTCCTGTTAGGCTTTTTGTGAATACCCTGATCAATGCATACGGCTTTCGCAGTCGTAGCGAAGTTCAAGGTTCAAGTTTTAAGTTTTATTAGCAGTGTTTCTAGTTTGTTCTTTGCATTTATGACACAAGTACTCAATATCTTACCGCAGAAATAATCTACATTGAACAGATTTTCGCACGATTGTCTCTATGTAATACAGTGCTGTCTTTGTGGTGTAGAAATTCAACGCTGAAACCAGAGCATTTTATTTTTGAGATCTCTCCAAAAAATATCAACAAAGAGAGAAAAAAAATTCGAAGCGCTGAGACCTCAGGGCCTACGATCCTGAATGCCTAACTGAAGATCACTTTTAGATCTAATCAAAGATATATATTACGAGTAATTAGTGTTTTTATTAGCAATGTTCCTCATTTGTTCTTTGCATTTCTGACGCAAGTACTTAATGTCTTACTGCAGAAATAATCTACATTGAATAGATTTTTACACGATTAAAATTTTATGACGAGAAACGGACAGAAGAATTGAGGAGAATTCGAACGCTGCGTATCGCTATAATTTATAGGGTACCGTAAGTAAATATGGACATGACGAAATGATATGAACAAATAATTGAAGAAAAGACATTACACAGGGTTTGGGTTCTGCAGTCAATGATATTGGCTTGGAAAAGTCCTTGTGATATTGTGATATCAATTCCATGCTGAACACAGTACTCTATTTGTTATGATTTCTGTTTTTAGTTTTCCTTTAATTTTCGATATTGCTTTTGGTTACCTTTATTTCATCTTTTTGTTGCGCAAAGACTCTCGGTATATCTCACGTTCTTGCAAGGTTAGGATCATGTTTCGTTTGTACAGTCAATAGGTTTTGTAAGGAGGTTTATCATCATTGTTTTGATGTCTAGCTGTTCTTCTTAAAGGCTTTACTGTGTGGGTTAGATTATATTATGTAAGTACCAGGAGCCATAATCGGGGACGGACCGATTATGGACACAATCTTATAGTTAGCTTACGTAGCTTGGCGGTTTTTAAGCAATTTGAGCGCGCTAAGAAATGCCAAACACGAGCAAGAAACAGCCGTACACAATTTGCCTCATGGGAGAGATGTGATGGCCGTTTTTGGCCAAAGCATGATTTTTACCGTGCGTATTTCACTGTTTCCGCTCACCAGACAAGAATTGTTGTCTACGAGAACCAGTATCGTTGCTATGTCGCTGTTTAAGAATATCATCGACGACCAAATATCAGAAATATTATCGCTGAACTTCACAGCAATGGAATTGCCGTCTGATATTAGGAATAAGTTAAGCCTCTTCCAGGAGGTCAGTTAATAGACCATTTTACAGTTCTCTGCTCAGTGCCCTGGCCTTTGTATGGCAGCGAGGCTAGAGTTGACCTTGTTTTGATACAGACCTCACTGCTTTTGTTGTGTAAAACAAGNAAAAGCAGTGAGGTCTGTATCAAAACAAGGTCAACTCTAGCCTCGCTGCCATACAAAGGCCAGGTCACTGAGCAGACAACTGTAAAATGGTCTATTGGGACTCAGCGCGAAAAACGGCGAACGAAAAAATACGGGAGGAGCGCTTTCTCTCGCCGCGTTTCTCCCCTATTTTTTCCCGCCGTTTTTCGCGCTGCGCCCCAGTAAGGCCCTCTTTACACGAACCCAGGTTGCTTTTTACCCCGGGTTCCCCCGTGATGAATCACCGCGGCGTGTAACCCTTTTGCAGTCAGTTGTTTATAATCGTTTACATGAAATCAGTGGTCAAGGCGGGTCAGCCCCCCTTGCCGGGTATGTCGAGACTCGGGTTGACCCGGCGAGAAGGGTTGAAATTTCTTCAGTTCTTACATGTAAACAGTGGGCCAAAAGCTAACACGGGTTGGTACTTTCAGTCAAATAACCATATCATGTTGTTTCGTTTTTTTTGGCTTCTACATTAGGATCTCCCAGCATTCCGTTATACTTTCTAGGTTTTTTGTTTGTCATCTTTCTAGCCCATGTTTTCAGGTTTTGATCGGTA